GACACGAACATCCGATCCTTCATCACAGCTTCTCCACGCCACGTCGCGCCCAGATTTTCTTCTCCGCGGCTGCGACTTCTCCTCCCGCGGCCGCGATGTTCAAATGGCCCCAAGCTCTCGGACTTCAGAAGAAGAAATGTCGCGGCCTCGGGAAGGTTCGCGGCCACAGAGCCGTTATTCTCCGCGGCCCGCGGGCCCCTCCGCGGCCCCGAAGAGCACGACTTGCAGCTTTTAAAATAGCAGATTTTGTAGTTTATCAGTTTTGATGTTCTGATCGAGGGTTTATGCTTTTATTGTTCTTTAGCTTCTGAACTCGTTTTCTTTTCACTTTTTTTTTTCATAATTTCGGACGTAGAACACGAATTCGATTTTGAATTTTGCTATTTCTTTGGATTCAAGCTTGTTTATCGGATTATCATTCAACTCGGGATTTATTAATCGTAAGATCCTTCTTTTCAATTAATTGATGAATATGGATTCTTTGATGATTATGATTTTGGTTGTTGATTCGATTATGAGTTGCTAAATTCGTTAGCTAGGGTAAGGGAATTATCGTTTCGTTTTGATTTCGTTTATATGCGTGTTAATTTCTCAATCTTTTCGAGTTGTGCTAATTCTAGGGTTGGATGATTGATCACCATCTTATCTAATTAATCAATTTTAGAACCGAATGGGGAGAAATCGATCGATCTAGGCTCGTTTAGAATAGGCTTGTTCGGAGACGTATTGTCTATGTGCTAATTAATTCGATAATTGTTCGTTTATGTTTATTCTCTTGTTTTGTGAGATATTGAGAATGAATCTCTAGGTGAGTTAGTTTTTCGAGTTCTTTAGCCGAGTAGTTAATTTCCCGTTAAATGTATTGAGAACCGGAAGCGATTATCCCCGATACCCTAGCCGCTTTAATCTTACTTGTTCTATGTGTTCGCTTGCTATTTACTTGCTTATTTGAATTTCTGTAGTAGTTGATAATTAAATCCAAGATATCTTGAATTAGAATGTTTTAGAATTTTACTTCTTTTTGCCTGATCGAATAAACGTGCATAATATTCCGGCTAACCTTCCTCGAGAGACACGACCCGGTGTTCGAATCCTTTGATTCAACTCCGGTAAAAATACTTACAACACTTTACAAAGGTAATTGGAAGTCTCGTGTGCTTATCTTGTGTTGAATGTTGAGACTTCGTTGAAAGCTCGATAATTTAGGTTAGAAGGCTCGTTTCGGCTATCTAGGTCTTAGTACTCGCATATTTCTCTTGTTTTAATTTTTTTTTTCTAAATTTGAAGACTCCGGTTTCATCTAGTTATTTTTGTTAGTTAAAGTTCGAATCTTGAATTATTGTCTTTAAATTTCTTAGTCATAATTAAAATCATCACAAACCAATCAATTAGAATGTTTAGGTCTTTATTTTCTCGTTTTTGTGTGTTTTTGATGATTAAGTAGTAGATAAAGTTCCGAATAGCCTTCCTTAGAGAACGACCCGAGGTCGGGCAGCTCGGTTACCACCTACATCACAAAATACTATTAAACGGTTGGTCCGCGGTGGACTTGGTCTCCTTGGCTTTGGCGGTTGGCTTAGCGGCCCCTGTGCTGAACAAGTTTGAAACTTAACAAACTCATAAGTTAGAGCTCGACAGAATTTGGCATCGTAAATCATAGATGGTGTAGTGCCTACTTATGTTAGTTATCGACTGGGTCGAGCAGTTAGAAAGCTTACAGTGCGATAGAAACTGCAGGTTGGTGGTTAGTTTTACGATGTGGAGAGGTCAATGATTCAATGGGCGATCAAAGCATCATATTCAATGCACAGTTTTGGATTTTTCACTTAGCCTGAGAGCTCGTGAAGCCACTCGGTTGATTGTCAAAAGGAGGTCAGATGAAAAATTATATGGTTTTTCAATTGACGGCTTTAGTAGCTGGTGCTTGAAATATTTCGCACCAATACAACCACAAAGGTAGTAAGAATTTTTATGGGGCGTCATCTAGAAGTAGTAAAAACAAAGGTCAGGGTCAACTCTACCGAGTCCAACTCGACAGAGCATGATAAACCCGACCAGGGTGCGAATGGAGTTCGATGAGATGTGGTTTAAGGGTAAGCGATACAAACGGCAGAGCTCTACCAGGTCATCCCTAAGTGGTAGTTTTAGCCAAGCCTCAGCCTAGTGAAAGAAGAAGGTATAATAGCCTGGGGGAGGTTGAAAGTACGTGCCTCCAGATTTGGGAATTCTGGAATTTCATCCCCGAGGGATCTCAATCTCAAAAAAAAGGTTAACTATACAATCAATTGGATAAGAGGAAATTGGGTTAGATTTTATTAATCGCGCAAAGGAAGATAGGCTTTGGCTTTCATGCCAGCGACCACTCTAACATGGTCGGCCAGGCGATGAGGAGCAGGGAGAGCTAGTGTTAAGGAAGATTCTCCTATAGATTCGGGGTTTGAGAGAAAAGCATCGGTTGAGCTTGACATGGCTACCGTGTTTTTTATGAAAAGGCATGTGATTATTGGAAGAATCAACAGACAGTTGCCGGATTGAACAAAAAATTAACTAAAAAGAAAAACTGTGAAGGAAAAATGAGATGAGTTCAAGCGTACATGCCCATGATGTTGCTTGACATGAATAGTTGCGGGAAATGAAGTCTATAAGCGGAAGATCACTTGAAAAACTTAAGGTGACTGGAATTTTCTTGCTCAGGGGCCTTAAACTTGCGAAAAGGATAAAACTTGAGGCACGATCCCTGGCGCAGCTCTTATAAAAGAAGAAGACAAAGGGCCACAATCACAATTTTTTGCTAGACGTTCGATCAAAATAAGATGCATGGTTCAAATTATAGTAGGTGAATATGTGTGATAGGATGTAGAAAGGTCAGATGATCGGAGGTGTTAATTTCAAAATAAGATCTTTGGTTGAAGATAGAAACGTGTAGGAGAAGACGAAGTCAAAAGGACGTTCTAATGGGTGCGAATCCCAAGTCACGCGACTAGGAGGCTAAAAAATTTAGATTCATAGGTTCACGCACGACGAAGAACATTATGGATATTATCTGAATATTTTTGAACAAGTCTCGGCAGCTCGTAAAAAGAAAGGGGGCTAGATGATATAACTTCCAGTATAGCACAGTCGAACTGCCAGAAGTGTTAGCTTGACATTAAGAAATATGAGAGGGCACAGTTTAGCCTTGGCTGATCAAGGACTGACCTCAAGTAGCTTAGAGGTCGAAATACCAGAGAAGTATGTAGCTCGGACGTGGAGAGACCTCCAAACCTGAATCCATGAGAGACCTCATAGAGTTAAGATCAGGGAGCCTACCTCTCCATACTCATGGTAGGAAGGTACCAGTGTTAGAATTGTGATCTGGAGACCTGAGAGTCATACAACTGGCGAATACATAATACTTTATGGATGAGAAGTGTATATCTTCAAAGAATCTCTAGATATTGGAAATCAATTTAGTTGAGAAAGAAGATAGGAAAAGATCTCTTGCCATATTAGAAGTCTCTTAACCACCAAGCAACCCTAAGCATAAAAGCGTATCCAGGTTCATATTTTGCACAACACACATATTCACACAAAGATTGTAATACAACTATTATTATTATTTATTGTGCACGGACTGTCTTGAGTGTCGGAGATTTTTCCTTCAAGAAGCTTCCTGATGTTTGTAGGTTATCGGAGACGACAAAAGCGGTATGATCTCGCGGATTGCAGTTCAGTTGGGCCATGGCACTCAGATTCTTGGCTTTCGTAATTGACCTTCTAACCATGGTAGCCTTTCCTTTCTGTTTTAAAAGGCATATTATCCCAAAATTTACTTTTCTTCGTCCTCTGAAAGTGCTGGTTTGTTTTTCAGGTATTTGATTCGTGTATGAATGTCCACTTGGATATCTAGCGCTTCCTTTTGGTTCTTCATTATTTCTTCAACCTTCTCCTGGATCTGGTGAATTTTTCCTAGAACCATCTGTTGATGCGCACCATAACTTTCCATAGTTTTTTGTACTTCACGGATATATGTGGAGTACATAGAAGAGCCTGGAATAACTTCTTTCTAGCTCA